GCGGCTATGCCTGCCGCTGCTGGTAGTGTCCCGGGCGGGGTAGTGCCCGCTCACCGCCACCGCCACCGCCCTGTGGAGTATGGGCCGGGCCGCGTGCAGGGCAGCAGCAGGGCAGGGCCGGCGAGAGGTGCTCTAGGTGGGAGAGAAACGATCGATGGTCCTGCCGTCGGGGCCGGCGGCCAGGTGAGCGCCCTGGCTCAACATCTCCGCCGCCTTGTCTGGGCTGAGGCCCAGCTCCGCGGTGAACTTGGCCAGCGGGTAGAGGCTCTCGAGCGCCACCTTGGGGTCGTGCAGGAAGTGCGTGGTCTGTGCCAGCAGCTCGGCCGCAGTCGCCTTGTCCTGCTGCTTCAGGCTCAGCTGTTCTGCCGTGAGGCGGGCCACAGCAAAGACGCCCTCGGGGAAGTCAAGCTTGCCTTTGACGTCGGGGCCGGGCAGGCCGGGTAGGCCCCCTAGACCTGCCAGCGCCCCCGCTGCGCCGGCCGCGCCGCCCACAGCGTGCATCTTCATGTGGCTGATGAGGTTGCGTTGCTGTGCGAACTTGCCACCGCACACTTGGCACTCGTAGGGCTTCTCGCCTGAGTGGATGCGCATGTGCTCCGTGAGGCGGTACTGGCGTGTGAAGCGCATGCCGCACGCGTCGCATGCGAAGGGCTTGAGGCCCAGATGGCTGCGCATGTGGCGCGTCATGGTCCCGCGTTGCGTGAACTTCTTCCCGCATATGGTGCATGGATATGGCCGGGTCAGCCAGTGCGTCTTCTCGTGCTGCCGCAGCGTGGCCGGGTCCTTATAGCTCTTGTCGCAGGACGCGCATCGGTATGGTCGCAGCAGCTCTCCTAGGCCGCCCGGAGCCCCAGCGACCTTGTCCCCACCGCTGCCAAAAGGGGGCCCTGCCGCCACCTCAGCTGCCTCGGCCCTGCCGTACAGCGCCTCCTCCTCCTCTACGTGAGCCTCCACGTGCGCGTTCAGCTGCTCGGAGCTGGGGAAGCCCTTGCCGCACGGGATGCACACGTACAAGTTGTCCCCAAAACTCTCCGGCTCGCCGTACGCCAGGTGGGGGCAGGGGTAGCCCTCCAGGTGGCCGCCGGGGGGGCTGGGATCCTCGCTGCTGCCGGTCTCCTCGCTGCTGCTCTTGTA